GTCCCCCGGCGGGGCCCCCCCGGCCCCGCCGCTCCCCGCCATGGCCCGCCCGGGGGTCCCGGCCCGGGGGTCCCGCCCGGGGGTCCCGGCCCGGCCCCGCCGCTCACGGGGAGCGCTCGGCCCCGGGCCCCGCCGAACCGGCGCGGCCTCGCCGCTCCTTCTGGGAGTTGTAGTTCCGCCCTGGCCGTCTCCGCCGCCATTCCCACGGAAGCTTCCGGCGCTTGAACTACAACTCCCATCATACCGCGGGGGTCGCGCTGAGCGCTCGCTGATTGGTCGTTCCCCCCCGAGCTGAGAAGCGCTACCCGGAAGCGGCGGTGGCGGTTGCCATGGAGACCGCGGCCTAGCGGGCGCCGCCATGTCCTTTAAGCGCGACGAGAGCGACCCGGGGCCGCTCGGGGCGCTGCAGGTGGGGCCGGCACCCCCGCGACCCCCCGGGACCCCTCCCCGGGCACCCCCCGGGCACCCCCGGATTTTTCCCAGATTTTGCCCCAGATTCCCCCGGTTCCCACCTGCCGCCCGGGCCCCGCAGCCGCCGCGCCGCCGCCTCCTTGCAGCGGCCGATCTCGGCGTCCAAGCGCCGCAGGAAATCCGAGGCCGAGAGGTCGCGCCGGGAGGGGCCGGGACCGTCCCCGGGGCTGTCCCCGACGGTGTCCCCGGGAATGTCCCCAGGGCTGTCCCCGGCGGTGTCGCGCTGTCCCGGGATGAGCAGCGTCGCTCTCAGGAAGATTGTGTCCGAGGAGTAGAGGCGGTTGGCGCGCTGGATCTGCTCCATCTGCGGGACGGGACCGGGACCGGGACCGGGACCGGGACCGGGACCGGGACAGGGATGGGCAGGGATGGGGACAGGACGGGGACAGGATGGGAACAGGGATGGAATGGGAGCAGTACAGGGACAGGGATAAGGACAGGGACCAGGATGAGCAGGCAAAGGGCACCGGGCCAGGACGGGCCCGAGATGACCCCTGCGTTCCCCCGCGGCCTCCCCTGCCCCCGGTGTCCCCCCGGTGTCCCCCCGGCCGCTCACCGTCACCCCGTAGCGCAGCGCCAGCCCCGGCAGGGTGTCCCCGGGCTGCAGGCGGTGCTCCCGCGGGGCCGCCCCGGCCCCGCC